ATACTGAATTCCTTTCCCTACAAAAGAACCGAGAACCCTCTGAAGTCTTAACTTCGGTACAACGAGCTTCCATTTATGTCTAGTATTAAAATTATTTACGTCACTCCGTTTATTATACAATTCATTATTCAAACGCACAAAAAGAATACAATTGAAAATCAATTGTGTTGCAGTGGTCAATACGCCAATTTCCTTAAAAATCTCTCTAAGTGAGGTACGTGAGCTTAATTTATATATCACTCTAACCGTACACTTCTGCAAAATAAAAATTGTTTCTATATTTGAATCGGCGCCCTACAATACAATACTGTATGACATTATACTGTGAAAGTAACTAAATAAAAAAGCAAGTTCGTTTTTAGCCGACTTCAAAAAAGTAGGAGGTCCTCAATTCAACTGTGTTATTTTGTGTGTGTTACGCAAATATTCTGGCATTTGAGAACCGATTTTGATGGTTATTTTTTGTTGGTTAGAGGGTACCATCAGTATTGGTCCATTTCAACTTTTTACGGGTGGCAAACTAGGGTATGAATCCGGTTTCGCGCACTTTCCGGTAACCATTGTAAAGTTTGAAGTCGGTCCTTTTTTTGATAATAAATATTATCTAAATCTCAGCTACACTTACTACAAAGCAAAAATTAATCTATGTCAATTCTTGACAAAACGTAACAGTGCTGTCAAGTTTGTTATTACTAGCTAAGCGATGACAGCGTGTTTTCAAACAAACCAGTACATCCGCTCTGCCAACTACAACTGACATATTGTCGGCTAAATTCGAAAACCACGTAACTCCGTTTTTGGACAAAATCTCCTTTTACATTTTAAGAGCACTATTGGGCAATTAAAGTTTTGTAAGAGGTTTACGAAGCGAATGAGGGTGAAGAAAGACGTTTAGAGTTTCCAAATGTTCAACGGCGTTTATTGCCGTAGTTGTATGATCGACATAAGCGACGTAATCGCGCTTATGCTCGATCTCAGCTCACCGTTGCACCCGGTGGAAGTGACAGCCGGCGGTAGGTGGCAAGGAACGACGATTCTATGAGCTTTCGTCCAAGTATCCCCGGTGGGAGTACTGGAGTGCCACTCATAAGCCCTATGATTCGATACAACATTTTTTTTGTGAAGGACTTTTGCAGTTTGCCGCTGATGGCCTTGACTGCGCCATCGAATAAGAGGACAAGCTGAAGGCTCATAACCCGTAAAATTAACTAAAAACTACACTTAAAACTAAGTCGCAGGCCTGAGGGCGCCCAAGTGGGCACGGACCTCGGCTCAGCGAATTTGCGATCTGGTTGATGTTCAAAATAACGAGAGTCATAAGGTCATTGAGGACTTCCATTGGCCGATGGGTCCTTCGTACTTGGTGGGGATGTTCCCTCAGGGGTCGTAGTTTGATGCAGCCACCACGAGGACGTTGGTGCGGTGAGGAGCAGAGTCGAAGTATTTCCTCGATGCCTATTTCATGAATTGGGCTGTTGTGGGGAGCCGTAAATCCATGCGGAGGTTAGCGTTGCACAGGTACAACGGGGTCCGTCGTACCTATCTGGAGCAAAGCAATTGCTTTTTGCAACCTAAATGGTAATTTAGTTAACACTTCGATAGCGCGTACTATTTTGATCCCAACACAATCTAGCAGCAAGGCGAGGCTACTAACATTTCTTGTACGTGGTGTTACAGCTTAAAATATAATTTGTAGACCCGTTTTTAGTTACGAAGTAAAGGTACAATCATAGATTGTAATAATATTATAATTATTTCTAGTAATTTTGTTGTTTATGTCTACTTAAAGTTTTACATCAATGGCAGTTACAAGGTTTGCGAATTTAGCCGACGATGTGTTTTTCCAACGTTATACCAATGATTTGCCCTGTTATTGACGTAAAAATTTGTTTGTATGAAAAAAAGACACGTATTCCACAAAATAATGTAATTTGTGACATCCCTCGCTTTTAAATTACTACAGATCAAAGAGCAGGAAAATTTTCCATTATTTTTTTTTTGCAAACTCTGAAACACGTTATTAGCAATCAATTACAATATAAGTAATCTATTACAGTTAATACATTGGATTATTTAATGAAATTTGGACATTCCATTTTGAAAAACTATTTATAGGCAAGTGTAACAAATAACTAAACCAAATAACCTTGTGTTCGTGCGTTGTGTTCTTAGGTTGTTGGAATTGTTATACAAGAAACAAAACAATTTTTCCATACTAAATCGCGTATATTTGTTTTTTCAAACAAAGCAACAACGTTTCGGGCAAGTATGAAGTTGCAGCAATAGAGCACCTTGTGAAAAAGTTCGTTCAGGAAAGCCTACTGCCCCCTTACCTATTCCTGCCACCAAGCAGTAATATGTGTGTTCCGATTCTGAAGGGTAAGGGTGCTGGTGAAATTACAGGCACATGAGACTTGTCAATTTATGTGTCAGTTTTAGAGATCTGAGTGGCACTGCAACTGTTATGTACAGGCGTGTCGCTTACCATCAGGCGCACGACTTGTTCATCCCGTCACTTCGTATCATAAACAAGGGTCCGAAAACTGTACTATGAGTACTAGAGCAACGGAATTCACTCTTGAGTACTACTCAGAAAACGGAGAACAGAACTAATTTAGAAAAGTTAATTTCCCAAGTTGGTCCTACCGAGAATCGAATCCAGGACCTCCCCATCCACCACCTTCACCTCGAACTAAACAACAAGCCAAGCAAGTCAAGCCAACTTTTTTAACGTTTTGGATTCTTTACAGGTTCCATACTCACGGCTAACTATAAAGAACCCAATGCGTTTGGTTAGTTTTATACGCGAAGTCCGAAAAATAGTGTCGTTTCATATAAATAAAATGGTCCTTAACTAGAAAATTGTCTGTACTATAAGAAAGACTACTGTAGCTGACTATATCAATAGGGTTCGGTAACAGTTGGAGTGTGAGCAAGACCAAAGGAAATGTATTTACAGTTTGTTTGAATAACAATACACTGTAATAACGAAAACAGAAACAATAGTGACAAATAGCAAGAAAAAGGCACCAAAAACAAGTACATTTCAGTTAAAAAAGACTATACAAAAAAGATTTATAGCGTCTGCTGCGATTCGCTACAACTATCCTAGAATCACCAGTCTTTAATCCGTTAAAAAAATTAATTTAATAGTAACCTAGTTTAATGAAAAACAGACACACCCTTGGCCCCAATCTTAGCTGATGTTAAGCAACGACGCTAGATGACGGTACGCAATTGTCTAAAAAATGTCTATTCACTCTTGAACGCCTTGAATAACTTGGGTTATCGGTAGTAGGTTATCTGTAGTTTTCGTTAAACATAGATGACGGTAATGTATACCTCTCCTTTACTGTACACTCGGTATCCTAAGATGCCCAACCACCAACGTTTTGATTATGAAACCCATTACGCGTTTAACAGAAAAGTGAAATGAGATTTAAACGTCACGTGTTAAAGATTAAATTTGTTTAACACTTTTGTTAAAAAACGCTGTATAATCATTTACTTAGTTTAATTATTTTTCTTTTTTCAGTTGCAATAACTATCAGATTATACCTACTCAATTTGGGTATAATAAAAAAAAATAAAAGGGCAACACTAAAAGATATTAGTGAGGTTGTTAAAAAAAATAGGAGGCGAGAGGGAAGCGAATGAACGGACAAAAAGTTATTATCGGAAAATGTATGCTTTTACGGGTTTTAAGGGATTACATACCGGATTACAATTAATATGTGCTTTTGCCTTATTGTTTCATTTTAAAATTACATGCTTATACTTTCAATCACACTTAAGATAACTCAGAGGGGCATCAACTGTACGTATTAGGAAAGAGGCAACAAAACACTTCGTGAGAATGGATGGCATGCATTGGCACATATAACGACATAAAGATGGAGTCTTTCGGACATTTTTAGGAAGTTATTATTTATAGGAAATGGAACTATTTTTCCGCACTTAAATTCATACATTTGTTTTTCAAACAAACCAACGTTTCGGGCCCTTTACAGGTCCCATGGTCACGGTTGACGCTTGACCTGTAAAGGGCCCGAAACGTTGGTTTGTTTGGAAAAACAAATATACGCAATTTAAATCCGGAAAAATAGTTTCATTTCCTATGTGTAACAATCGCGAAAACATTAGAACTCGATAAGTTATTATTTACCTCACAAAATCAACCAAATACCTGACGAGATAATATTATCCAACGTAACATAAGTCAATCATCCGATAATTGGTCGATATGGGAATATAGACCAAGCATATTCAGGCATACTAAGGGCTATTCGTCCTCTTACATTATGCACATAGCCCAGGAATGGAATTTCCTGCCTGCGACTGTGTTTCCGAGCACATACAACCCGAGTATCTTTAAGGTACGACTGAGTAGGCATTTTTTCTGGGCTAGCTCGTTCCATCGCAGACCCTATCTTTGCTCCAGAGCTAGGTAGTTAATAATTTCAATACCGAAATGCAGTAATGCAAATCAGTTTACTTTAAAAAAACACCACTCATTGAATAACTACATTTAGTAATAACTTCTCATCTATGTAATTATGTATTAAAGGGCTAAATTGTGTTATTTATAATAAGAAGAAACTCTACGTGGCCTGGAAGACGGCTGCTAACAACGAAGCAAACTACGACGTAGAAAGCGACGACGACCTGGACGGCTTTGCCAAAAAGTGTTCCAGAAAGGACCGAAAAAGGAAACCAGTGTAGCCTCAACCCTACAAGGAACGATAATGGAAAAATGTTCCAGCCTTCTTTTTAATTATGATAAATGAATTAAAAAAAGACTTTTTTCCAATTAAAAAAAGAACAAATATTTAAAATAGGATGCTTATGTTTAAATTACAATTTCACTTCAGATTTGTTGAATATATTTTGAGAACTATCTATCCGTTGTCGAAACAAAATGAGCCTTTAAAAGTTTTTAACAAGAGTAATAAATAAGTTACACGAAATGTTTTCCCTAAAGTTTTATTAATAACACTTACCTCCAAATAACACCAGGATAACAGCAGTAAAAACAAAGAATTTTCCATCGAACATTTTTGCAGAATCCAAAAAAATCACTTTTCCACACTCGTTCAAACTTTGTAAATGAATGATCGTAATTTTTCCGCGCTAAGTTTAATATTCGTACAGTTAAAGTTGTCCAAAATAGAACTGGCCGCAGAAAACTGAGACTATTTTACATTTTTATTAAAAAAGGAGATTACATAGGTTTGAAAACAAATTCTGTTTCGGAATTTAAATACGAATTTCGCGTACCGTTTGACGTGTGCCTACGCGAGCGGTCGGAGGAGAACTGAAGGAAAGCAACCTGAAGGGAGGAACACCAACATTTTCTCGTTAAGATACATGCTAAACGTTTCCTGTAGTACGATTGTGACTCGCTGGCAATAATTACACACATTTTAAAGATATTTTTGTACTCTGTGACAATATTTCACGCTCGTTCATAACGATTCATTTGGGAGTATTCAAATAACAATCGTCTTTTCAAATAACGTTTTAAATCGTATCACGGCGCATCGTTTTATTGGTCCCGAGATTATAATCCACATGAGACCATATCGGGTTTGAGGCTACTACGTTCAAAATTAATAGTAACAAAGTATAACAAATTCATGTTTTGAAATGACATTGTTTTGTCCTTAAAAGTACTGTGTTATTAAATAGCTTTCTGATAGTGTACATCTTTACTCCTTTTTGATGGAAATGATATATTTTTGGCTATATAACGTATATATATTTATAAAGCTGTTTTTTCTTAAATATATTTTACGCACGAACTCCACTTAAGATTATATAATACGTAATATGTTTCGAAAACAAGGTATCAGGGGTGCTTGGGGGGTTTTGGGGAGGGAGGAGTAAGCAAAACATGTTATTATGTGAAATTACGGCTCTCACTACGGATGCTGCAGAGTGCCTTTGCCCAACAATGGGACAGCTTAAGTAGAGTGTAACAATAATAATAATAAAACTAGGGACTGTCCCGTGTGCGAAGAGTACCAGAGCAACGGATATCAATCTGGAGCACATCCCACAACGCCCAGAATCAACATAGTTAAGTTTTAGTCGCAGTAGTGCAAAAGTACTGCCACTTTTCCGCTTCCAAGCAATAATGTGAGCATTACTTCGTTTCGGTTTAGAATGGTAAGGGTGAAAGTACAGGCACAGGGACTGGTCAATTTATGTCTTAGGGTGACGGGCGCAGTGGCAGTGCCCATAAGACCTTTGCGATTTAAGGCTCTGAATAGAACTACAACTGTCATGGATAGACGTGTCGCTTACGACTTGTTTGTCCCGTCACTTGGTATCATTAAAAAAATCCCTAAATTGGTCCTATCGGGAATCGAACACATGACCTCTACATGCAGCGTCCACTGTGCAAACCGTTGGGACATCATAAATAAATTAATAATTAAAACTTTTTTTACAAATAAAATCGTCCTCAAATGCGAAATTACATATATTTCCTAAGTTTTATAGAAATAGGTTGACGGAAAGGGGTGAAATCCAATAAACAAATTTTCCACCCTTAGAAGTGGAATAATTTCTTCAAATTTTGAAAGGGACTACTATGAAGGTACTTATTCCCTTTGTAACAAAAAAGAATCAATAATAATAATATTTTTGAATTCTACACGATAATTGCAATTCGCAGTTTTCGGTCGGAAGTTTATTGTATTGCTACGCGGAGATTACAAATTCACTCTTATGAAGTACAGCAGTTTTATTGATTTCCAGTTGATCAGAACGGCATTGGAAGTTATATGTATTCGTTTATTCATTCATTTATTGCATTATCTCACTTATATTATATTAAGTATAGTGCCTTGAAAACTTGACACCCTGTAAGGGCACAGCAAAGTGATGAGGGCACTTACTCATCATAAAAGCAATAAAATTGTAAACATTAAATAAATCATAACATATATACAAACATAAGATAAATTGAGAACAAACAAATTAATTACGTAATAAATTATATTTTGAAACGAAACTATTTTTCCGGATCTAAATCGCGTATATTTGTTTTTTCAAACAAACCGACGTTTCGGGCCCTTTACAGGTCCCGTGGTCACGGTTGACTGAGGTGGTACAGTCTTCAACTAGTTATGTCTAATATTGATGCAAACCACCCTATTTTTTCCACTATAGTTACAATAGTTATTAATTAAATACCTTATTTTTAATTTTACAAAGAAACATTCCAATTTACGCTGCATTAAGTTATACAAATTATTTTATTGAATGAATTTTTTATTAAGTTCAATTTATTACCTATTAATTAATAATAGAAATTATTATAAATTAAAACATATTAATTAGTACTGCAGTCTTATGTCTGCTTGGGATTTTTCATTAGAGGAAATACTGGATCCCAGACTGGTGGTACGGAGAAACCATCTTCCCTGTTGAAATTAGGATGTTTTTTAATTTCAATGGCCTCGCAGCATCGTGGGTAGATAACGGACTTCTTTTGCAAGGACCTGGGCTTTGTCAAACTTCATTGAATGTGTAGGTTTATCCATGACATGCTCGCAGACTGCAGACTTGTTTACGCAACGGTGTTTGACATCAGCTATATGTTCTTTGACGCGGGTACAAATACTTCACTTTGTTTCACCGATAGTTAGATAGCCGAGGTCAAGGGCGAAAGTTAGCCGAATACAAAGTTGTCGTCAACTATTAAAACGGCCGATAGGTTATCAACACTAATTAATCGACTTTAAAAAAAGGAGGAGGTTCTCAATTTGACTATATGTTTTTTTTTTTGTTTGTATGTATGTTAGGCGATAACTCCGATATTATGTGAACCGATTTTAATGATTTTATTTTATTTGTTGGGTAGAGGGTACCTCAGTGGTGGTCCCACACTTGAAGAAAACATTCCACCTCTAAGGGTGACAAAGTAGGTTTAGTTTTAGGAATCCGGTTTCACGCACTTTCCGATAACCAATTTCAATGAAACTTAGCAATAAATATATATAATTTCACGATCTTTTAAGGTCGGTTTTTAACACTTTGTACTGAGATTATCATAAACATTATTATATTTATTTTAATTATTAATACAAAGATCGAACACGTAGATAAAAATCCTTCGATCTGGCCGGATTCAAACCGACGTCTTCTAGCAAACCGTGCCAGACACTATGCCCACTAAGCCACGGAACGAACCAGCGGACCTCACGAATTTTTGTATGTGCTTGTTGTTAGATCTTTGTATTTGGTTTTCAACGACTTTTAGCCGTAGCGCCATCTATGAGAAATCTATGAAAGTATTTCGTTACCCAGTTAGATACCTATAAATGTATATTTCTATTTTCAAACAACCCGGAAAAAATTGTTTCATTTCCTTTTTTAACTACCTATACTGCAGAACGGTTACCATGCTGGTCTACCGCGCAGAGCTCCCAGGTTCGATTCGAGGAAGAAATATTTGTATGGCCCACATTTATTTCTATCTTGACTTTGGGTGAAATTTATGGTTGTCTATGTGTGTGTCCTATAAGGTTTCCCTAATGAGGGGCTGTGAGTGTGTGCGTTATTGTTATTATTTATTAACTAATTACTATGCTGAAACACATCTGTGGAAATGTAGGGCAAAGGTACAGGGATCATTTAGGCCTGCAAGATTTTCAAATAAGGTCATAAAAATACGCCGTTACGCCGAGCCTGTTTTTATAATCAATTCTGAATATTGAGATTTTGGAGAATATTTGTTTTAATAATACATAACAGTAAACGATGAAGGTTGATAGACTTTTCTTCAACCCGAACATGTGTTTGTATTAATTTTGTTCAATTATTATTTATTTTCCATAGCAATTAACAATTATCAACAAAATAGATGGTTTTGACCTAGATACGAGCAGGGATATAAATAACTGAAAATCAATCCACGAAATTATGATTTTACACTTTCATAAATCCTACCCTTACTATTGGCAGTTAATTTGGAGTCAAAGTTAAAATCAAATAATCATTTATTCCATAGTATAACAGAACGGTAAATAAGACGATGAAGTAAAGATTACCAAATATTTTATTACTTTTTTTAATCGAGCGATACAATGTGCTTATTCAGTTGCTTCTAGACAAAATTCTTTTAAAATGAAATTGAAAGGCTTATATAGGCTGGCTGGCTACGTCCCTCCACTTCCCCCATCAAACGGCTAACTGGTGGCAGCGGATTGGTCGAAAGTGGCGCTGCTATCGCAGGGCGGTTAGTGGAAGTGACGTATGGCTGGCGGGGCTTGGCAGGCGGGCTGCCCAACATGGCGACTTAACTTCCGTTACAATAAGTACAGTTTTTAAACTTGAAAACGTCATTTTTAAACTACTGTTCGTTCACTACGCTGAGCTTTTCAAATAAACTTAAATGCTATAGCATACATATTGAAACATATTTGTGTCGAATGTAGACTTACGTTGTCTTTCCATACATCTTTATCTAACACGGAGTCTACAATTTTGAAATACGACTTTTCAATTAAAATACTTTTAATGTAAGTTTTAAACTTAGAAAAAAATTATCTTAATATATGCTCCAGTATCTTATTGGAAACACATGAACAGTTCCCCATAAAAAGAATCGTTTACCTTAGTCAAATGAAAACGTGGAACCACGAGTTTGGACTTTGCTGTAAGGTTAATCTTATGGATATCTTCTTTCTTAACGAAATCATGTATATTTTTACGGGCATATAAAATATTTGAGTAAATGTACTGCGATGCCACAGTCATGGCCCTTACCAGGCTCCTTACACTTTTCTCTGAGAGAAATCCTAGAACCAAAACGGTACACAGAACGAATCGGTCGTGGATGATTTTCAAGCATATAGACATAGCCTGAGTTTACACCCCTGTGCTGTGGATATTCTAAGGACTCGCACGATGTGTATAGCGTATGGCTAAAGAATGGAATTCTCTGCCTGCAGACTTATTCGCCTGTCCATAACAGTTGCAGTACCACTCAGAGCTTTAAATCGCAAAGATCTGAGGGGCACTGCCACTGCGCCCTGAGACATAAGTTAACAAGCCCCAAGTTCCCGTAATTTCAACAGCACCCTTACTTACTAAGATACAAATTATTTTATTCTATTCTTATTGCTATTCTTATTACAACGGACATATCCAGTAACAGTAATATGCAAGAACAATAATATTAATCTTATACTAGTTAACATCGAACAAACAGTGTCTTGTAAACCGTATTTTATAAAACATAAAATTCTGACAATAACTTCTATTTATGTTTTGGAGTGCTG